ACAACAAAAATATTAGAATAAAACAAAGTTTAAAAGTTTGGTTGATACAAGGAGAAGATACAAAATTATTTATCAAAACGTGTATAATGAACAATCTGAATATGAAATTAAAAAATCATTTCATCATAATATAAAAAAGTGTAAGACCTAAAGTCTCACTTCCACTCCGAGGAGCGTGAACAGCCAAAAGGGCCTTCACGATGCTAAGTCCTGTTGCCCAACGATGGCTCCGGATGCAAGACCCAGGGCCTTACTTCCGGGAGCCTTGAACAACCCAAAGGGCCTCCAAGATGCTGGGACCTGTAGTTCAGCAAGGCTCCGGGAGCTCGACAAGCAGCAGCGAGAGTCACCCAGGAAGGAACACACCAGGCTTGTTGGTAAATCGACCTTTACTGGTCTGGCCAGACGGCACTCTCAGAACTGAGCAGCTCAGAGAGGCCCAGCACGGTGGTTAGCACAGTTTCTTAAAGGCAAGGGAAGAGGACTGCAAGCACAGCAAGTGTGCCAGGGGTCAGGGGGTCGGTTTTCTGCCATCCATCTAAAGGAGTCAGCTATACAGCGCAACTGGTCTTTCATCTCCAGACCTCAGGCTGTTCTGTTCTAAGCAGGCCTTGAGTCGCTATCTTGTTTACCCGTACCAGGCTTCCATACACTCTAATCTTATCTTGGAGCTGGGTAGAAAGAAATGTGTGCTGCTATTTGCTGGCTACCTAGGGATTACATAGTGGTTAGGGTCCCGCAAATGTTTACAAAACTATTTACAAAAAATGCAAAGCTCGTGTTCTGGGAACTATGAAACAGTAAAAGCCCAGAGTAACTAAAAAGGCATCTCACATTCAAAGGTTGGAAGGTTTAATTGTGCTGAAACGGCGATACTCCTCCCATTTTCCTCAGACTTCATGTAATAGCTGTGAAAAGCCTACGCATTGGCCTGGCCCGCTCTGCAGGATCACGCACGGTGGTGGCTGGGAAGTCAGTGGCTCCGTGGAATCTGAAGAGGGACTTCCCTGAAAGGCTGGTTCCGATAGGGCAGTCAATGTTGCTCGCTGGGCACAGGGACCGTGAAGAGCCGACAGTGAAGAAATTCTGGATTCACGTACAATGCACAAACCCAAAGCAAAGGCACCTAAGCTTGTTAATTTGCAGTAACGACTGGTGCTGTTATTACTTGCCACCTCATTATTTGCCAACCTAGGGCTACTTTACAAGTTCCAGCTGGGCTCCCGGAGTGCAGCCTGTGTTGTGGATGCTGCACTGCTCCTCATGGAGTCAATCAGTTTGCTGCTCCCTGTCCACCAGTGAGTGCTCCTGCTGTTCAGAGAAAAATCACTGGAGAGAAGTCAGGGTGATTAAAGTGGATTCTTTGAAAGGACCTCTTTGAACAGACAGAACTTCGTTATAACTAAATGGTCACACGCCTGCTTGTAACAGTCATCTTTTTTAAAAGCAAAATTATGCATTAAAGCAAATGATCCCTAAACAAAGCTTACCGCTTTATGTTTGTAAATGAATTTTTGACTCTATTGCTCTCCTGGATCAAAATATCAATTTATTACCATAGAAATGTATGTATAATTGCTACAAAAATCTGTATTTTTAAAATATTGAATAAAATGCATTTACTATTTGCTCATTTTTTCTGACAAAAAACATGTATTGTTTAGCATTAACTTTCATATGGAAACTTAAGAGGACTGGAAGGTCTAAAACTATGTCAAGAAAGACGTGTTGAAAGACCTCCTTCTTTCTGATTTAAAAGACTACCTCAGTGATTAAGACAAAACTAAAGCTATGTAATCTGATACACGCTAACTGACAGTCTGGAAGTGAACTCATTGTTACATTAAACTCCTTCTTCAAAAATTGTAATCTTAGCAAAAAACACGCATCGTAAGTTTTATCACTTTAACTATTTTCATTTTATAATTTGGTGCTGTTAAAAAACATTCCCAATATGCAGCCATCACCACCTTCAATCTTCATAATTCTTTTTTATCCTCCCAAGCCAAAGCTCCGTAATTTCTAAACAGTAACCTCCTTCTGTCTTTCCCCAAACCGCTGGAGCCAACAATTCACGTTTCTGTCTGTTTAACTTTGGCCACTCTACTTATCTCAAATAATTGGAAACCAACAATGTTTGTGTTTTGTGAATGGCTTGTTTCAGTTAGCAAAACGTCCTTAAGGCTTATCAGTGTTGTGCCTGGTGGTAGAATGACTTGAAATTTTAAGGCCGGTTAACATTTCATTGCATACAACTGAATAATACTTCATCAACGTCAATTAATGAATGACCTTCCAGTGGAAGAGAAGGCAGCAATGAAGGCATTGTCTTGGAATGAGAGATTGCATCCTCACCAGAAAATGAACCTATGGGTGTTTGTTCTTGAACTTTTCATTCTCTAGAGCTGTGAAAAATATTTTTCTCTTCTTTAAAATTGCTAGGTGTGGACCGGGGATTTAGCTTAGTGGTTCCTGCTCCTGCCTTGCAGATCCCAGGTACCAAAAAAACCTGCTAGGTGTGTAGTACTGTGTTATAGCACAAAAGATAGACAAAGACAGATCAGTATTGATTTTTCTTTCTTCTTCTAAGTAATTTAAACATAAATTGTATGAAATCAAATGGATATGGTTATATTGTTTGGTCTATAATGTAATGAAGGTTAATATGACCGATCACACGAAGGAGATGGTGAGAGAAAAGTTCTATTAGAGCAAGTAAATTATACCAGATGATCAGTTGAACCCTCGGAAATATATGAGAATTATACATTTTAAATAAACAGTAAATAGAACAATTGTATGTATGTATGAATACATACATAGTTTCTTTTCTTTCTCAAATGGATATACATTTATTCAATGAAAAATTATAACAATATGTTATTGTCTTTGTAACATGCATGGAACACACACATATATACATACATATATCACCACAGAAAGGGAAGAGGAAATAGTGGCAAAGAAGAAAGACTATTGCACAGTTTTGATGAATTAAGTTTTATAATTCTGAGGAAAGTAGTACAAGGCAAAAAAAAGAAAAAAAAGAAAAACAAAACGAAATGAGACATGTAGAATACCAAATGTTAAAGAACAGCCATAAATCTAGAAATGTTAGTAATAATACTGATTGTGGGTTAATTAAAATGCAGTTATAAATCAAGGATTATTAGTTTGAATGAAAGTAATGTGACTCAACTCTATGCTGTCTTATAAGCAAAAGTATCCAATACTGTAAAAATAGATTAAAAAATGATTTGTACATGTATAACAGAATGCTATTCAGCTTTTTCCCATTAAGTTTATTGGCTCATTTGGGGCATACGAGATGATGACATTTCTCATTGGGAATTTGTACCTTTACATGATGTTTCTTGGATCTTAATTTTTCCCCATTTCCCTGCCGTCCCTGCAACCTTTTTAGCCCTCCCTATTTACAATGAATTTTTTCCATTTTTTCCTTTTTTCATAGTTTTCCTCTCCCTTCTTTCCTTTCCCCTACTCCTCCCACTTCCTCCTCCCCTTTAGACCTTTTCTTCCTGTTTCACATTATCTATTGTGCATTAGGATTCTTATCTACACTTTAGTTTCTCACACCAGAGAAACTATTTGGTATTTCCTCGGGTGCCCTATTTATTTCACTGCGGAGTACGGCCTCAATATGCATTCACAGCTTTTTTAAAAAAGGAAGGTCTCTCATAACCAATGAGCCTAGAGCACATTATGTTACAAAACATAAACCAGGTATAAGAGACAAGGTTTAAAGATGCAAATATGTTAAAAATAATAGAACAAAATATCAAGCCAATAGCAGTCACAGAAGATGTACTGGATAGAACAGTATCATAAAATATTCTTTAAGACAAGGAATACCAGTAGAGATAAAGGGGGACTATTATCATGAGGAAATGCTCAATGTATCAAGAAGTTAGAATAACCGGTACAATAAATGACTCTTATAAATAAAATACAGAGTAAGGAACAAAAGCAGACTGAATTTAGATAAGAGAGAATATTGTTATTCAACAATACTCAGAGATTTCCACACTTCGCTTTCAATATTAAATACATTTGCAAGGAAGATCAATATGGCAATACAAGACCAGAACCGCAGCAAGTACTAAAAACCCTATCAGGCATCTGTAGATCTAATCCTCTAACATTAGCAGAGTGCACACTCTTCTCAAGTGCCCCAGAAACTTTCTCCAGGAGAAACAAATAGTAGATTATAGTACAACTCTCAGTAAGTTTAAAAGACAGAAATCATGAAAAGTATATGCTGTGATAACAGTGAATTGTAACGGGAAGTTAAGCAGGATTGAGAATACATTGGTAAAGGACAAGAAATGATCGTAAACACCTGTTGAGACAGAGGGATCACGTGTATTGCAGTGGTGGGTGAGCAGGTGGAGGGAGTTGGAACCAGGTTGCAGTATATTTTGGGGTACAACTGACCAGCCTAGGTGACTGGGAGTGGGACAGAGGGAAGGGAAGAGTGTCAAAGACAAACATAACTTCTGGTTTGGGGCATGGACATGTGAACTGATGGAACCACCTTACTCAAAAGCTAAAGGACACAGGGAGAAGAAGCATATTGGAGTAGATGACAAAAACAAGTACAAGTTTGACCCGGCTGAGTGATATACAAATGAAGCTCAGAGTTAACGTCACAACTGGAAGACAATTCTTAGAATAACAGCAGCCATAGGTCGTATTTAAGGCCCTTTAAGTTAGGGAATCTCATACAGTTTGTCCTCTGGCCAGACACACTAATGAGAGGTTAGATGAAAAGCATTATTTCTTCCTCTCCAGAGTGCCTCCTCCCCACCTTTGTGAAACCAGCCCCAGCGGAGTAGGCCATAGGGGTGTGGCTGTGACCAGGCAGCATTCTTCTCTCACTGCTGACTCAACCACATCATTGTGACATACAGCTGTGTTGCCTGGTTACTGATGTAAAACCGGAGACTGAGAGCTCTCACCCTCAGATCAAAGCAGCCCCTGCCAGAGTCAGATGCTTCTGGCCAAGCTCAAAAGTAGCTAGATTCCCATAGGGGTCTAACGCAAGGTGAGGATGCTTACGGAACAGTGAAGCAGCAGAGCCTCCCAACACTGAAAGCGCAGCCATGTCTGGAATGCCATTCGAAGGAGAGGAAGGTGAAGATCATCGAGCTAAACAGGTAAAGCCAATAGAATCCCAAGAGGAGAAAATTCATGTAATGCACAGGTCTTTACATAACATAGCCATTCAAGTACATGATCTGCGTAATTGTGCTGACGATCTTCTGGCTCAAATATCCAGAGAGGTTGCTGATGTCTCTTGCAGATTTATGGTTTTGCAGAAACGTTTAATCCAGTTAATGGATGTTATTACCCACCAGGATACGAACAAAGAATCTCATTTACCAGCTACAAAATCCAAGGAGGATGAAGAAATTACTCTTGCAACAGAGCAGGTGTCCACTTCCCAGCCATTACTTGTTATAGTGTATGACAGATGTGATGCTTGTGGGCAGATATTAGCTTTCCATATACCTACTTTTAATTACCTGCATGATACAGGTTTAAAGGATTTTTCTGATAGTACTTGCAGTGTTGGAATTTGTAAAGCGAATATTGTAGCTGAGAGTAAAGAACAAAAGCAAGAGAAACTGAAGGAGCAGGAGCACCTCTATCATCCCAGTGAACCAGAGAGTGCGCCTCTACGTCAAAGCATACAAGATGATGTTTTAGTGGACCCCAGCCAAGCTGCCTGGGGAGAGATGTGTCATTCATGGGTGTATCAACCGGTGGAACGTTTCTCATTTCCCACGCATTCATTTGGGTGTGAAGTAAGTAGGTTTTTAACTGGAGCTGGAGGAAAAACATTAGCCAGCCCTCTGTATTCACTAAGGAGTGGACATGAATACCTGAAAGACACACAGAAATATGTCCGTTATGGAATTGGGAAGGGAGAAAAAGTGGAACCCCAACGTCCCATTCATCATAAAACAGAGGTGTTTGTGAGCTCCACCGCACCACCCTCACCACCTCCATCACCGCCTGATTGGCTTGCTCGCCTGAGATGGCCAAAGAGGGCAGAGGATCCTGGAGCCATCCATTCCCCATCTCAGTCTCCATCCACTGTTTTGGGCACTGCAGCCACACCCCGACTTCTATGCCTGCAGACTATTCCTGAGGCAGGTCTTCCACTTCCTCCAACTAATGTAGACTTATCTGCACCTGTACCTGAACTTGTTCAATATTGTGAAGTGCTTACCCATGATCTACTTCTACTGGAGGAAGATGAAGGACAGTCTCCAACAATGTCTCCTCCTCCTGCAATGTCATGTAGAACTAAAATAAAAGACAGAGTTACAAGTCGAGTTGGCCGTGCCCCAGTTATGCAGTCACCAGCATCTGTAGTTTTTCCATCTACAAGGTCTGCATTTGCACAATCATCAAAACCTTCTGCTACAAGAGTGACGAGATATTCAGGTCAGTCAACGACAAGATCTTCACTTTCTCCACCATCAAGATATCTCGTTGCATTAGCAAAATCATCACCTGCGCCATTATCAGGACATTCAACTCTAAAATCTTCACAATGTTCAGCTCTACTGTCATTATCTTCACATCCACGAGCATCACAAGTTTCGATTCCATCAGGACAACATTCTCGTGCCCAGCCACCAAGACGTTCACTTGCCCAGTCAAGGAGTGGTTTACAGTCAACAAGACCTTCAGTTGTACAATCAAAGCACTGATTCCACCGCAACAAAGATCATCAAGTTCAACATCCACACGGTCTTCTGTGCCTCAGTCACACTTTTCTTCTACGCAGTCACCATCATCATCCCTTTCACGCCCTCAAACTCTTACAATGAGCCAACCTTCAAAAGCTCCTGTTAATTCTGGGGCAGAACAATCTTCATGAAGTCCATCAGCATTCAGCAGAGCAAGTAGTGCCCTAGTGGAAGCAGTAAGAAAAGACCTTCTGCCACGCAAAGTTGAAGATCAGTGTCTACGGAAAGCCAAAGTAGATATTTCTAAAAATGAAGCGAATTCCATCTTGATCTGTCAGAAAACAGTGGGATGCAATGCTGGTAAATCAGAGAACAAGGCCGGTTCAGTGGAGGGAAATGAACAACAACAACAAAATAAATCCAAGTGAAGTAAAAGTAACACTCAATTTTTAATTCTTTGATAATTAAGTCATTCCTGATGATTTCTATTTATTTCTTTAAAATAATCTATTATCTGCTTGTTTTACAGGGCAACTGTTACCACATAGTCCATGTAAATTATTTTACATGTCTTTAAAGACCCTGAATTATTCAACTAAATCAACATTTTAAGTGTTAAGGTCAGAAATTCCTAAAATACACTTAAGATATAAGTCATACTTAAATTCCAAGGGTGTCTAGTCACCCTGTAACATTTCATGTAAAATGTAATGGAAACATTCCAGATTTCTGCCTCAGTTACAGGAATATACTAAGAAAATGAGTGAAACATATAGTGCTAACTATACCTCAGAGAACAGGAACAATTGCACCCTGGGTTTTTTGGTTTGTGTTGTTTTTTCCTGTATTCTTACCACTTAATTTTTTCCTGAGTTTATTGGTACTTTTTAGGTATACAGAACAGTGACATTCATCATTAGGATATTGTACCTCTACATGATGTATCTTACTTCTTCTTTTTCCCCATTTCCCTGCCCTCCCTTCACCCCCTCCTCTCTTCCCTATTCACGAAGACTGTTTCCATTTTTTCCTTTTCTTATGTTTTTGCTTTCGTTTTTCTCTCAAATAGTCGATTTTATTTCCACTTACTCTTTACCAACAGTATTATTTGCATTATATGAATGGTATTAACAATATTAATTTTTAGTGAAAAATAAAATTTGGGTATAATTTTTCAAGTACACCATTATAACGTGAAATATGCACACATTCTGGAACGACTAAAGTAAGCGAATTAACATTTGTATTACTACGCAAACATATTTTTTGTGGTGGATGCCTTTAAAATTTAGTCCCCTAGCAATTTTCAAGAAGAAAATATATTATCAAATATAGCATTATAGTATATGATTGATTCCTTGGAATTAGTCATCTGAAATTGTGTATCCTTTGCCCAGGAACTCATCAACACACTCCTGCAACCCACTAAACGTCATCCTGTACAATTTTTCTATGAATCTGAAATGTTAAATTCTACATACAGACTAGATCATGCAGTATTTGTCTCACTGTGCCTGGTCTAGTTCACTCACTTCCTATAAGATGCTATGGCTCATGAACCTTGTTACAAATAACAGGGTTTTGTTTTGCAAGATAAACCAGTGGTACTCAGTTCATGAACTTTACTCTTTCCATGATTCTGGTCACAAATTAAATTGGAAGGACTGGGGATGGAGCTCAGGGGAGCCATGCCTGCCTGGCAACGAGTCCCTGAGTTCAACTCTCAGTACCAGAAAAAAAGTAAAAATAACTAGAAACAAACTGAGTGGGAAGAGAACTAAATGTTGACCTTATGGAGACATTTGACGCAGTTCTTGTCCAATTTGATTTGTGACCAGAATGGTGGAAAGAAGTTCATGAGCCAAGGTTCCACTGTACACATGCACATCATCATCCTTTGCTAATGGATCAAATGACAGATGGTTAGGCTGATTCTGCACCTTGGTTAATATGAACAATGCTGCAATGAGCATCAATGTGCACTTCTCCTCCTCAACATACTTTGTTTTTCATCTCTATGTCGTTATGCCTTGCATCTGGATGTCCCTGCAAAGCCTCATGTGCTCCTAATGGGACATTTCTTAGCTGGCTGAACCTAGGCCACGTGATACTGGGATTAAGGGTGTGTGGTATTAAATTAGTCCACTAATTGGAATTGGCATAGCTCTGGCTGAGGATGATGCAAGCCATCCTGGGTGTGGGCATCACCAATATGGCTTATAGCCTAGAAGGAAGACAAAGGGAGAGCGTGAAGGCAGGCTTGTGGCTGCTGCTGCCTGCTGCTTGCTGCCTTTTAATTGCCATGCCATAGACCTTCTCCTGTGCTTTCCTGCTTTGGCACCAGCCGACTATGGACTGAAACCTCTACAAACTGTGAGACGAAATAAATTTTTCCTCTTTAATTTTGAGTGTTGGTTGTTTTGTCTTAGCCATGAAAACAGTAACTGCTTTCATTGTGTCCCATAGTTTCCTGTATGTTGTATTGGCATTATTATTGATTTGTAAAATCTGTGTAATTTCTTCTTTAATTTCCTCTGTGACCCATTGATTATTCAGGAGAGTGTTGTTCAACTTCCACGTGTTTGTGAAGTTTCTACTGTTTCTTATGCTATTGATCTCCAGCTTAATTGCATTATGATCTGCTAATATACATTGAATAACTTCAATTCATTCGCATTTACTTAAACATGTTCTATGAGCTAGTATGCGGTCTATTTTGAAGAATGACTGATGTGCAGCCAAAAAGAATGCATATTCTGATTTTGTGGGGCAGAACACTCTGTAGACATCTATTAAGTCCATTTGTTCACAGGCTTGCTTCAGTTCTAGCATTTTATTATTGATTTTTTGTCTAGATGATCCGTTTGTGGCAGTGGGGCCTTGATGTCCCCGAGTACCATTGTCTTAGCGCTTATTTGGTTTTTCACATCCCTTAATATCTGTTTTGTATAGTTGGGGCATTAGTACTTAGTGTATGCATATATTTATGATTTGCATTGCTTCCTCTTGGATTATTCCCTTTATAAGGATGTAGTGACCTTCTTTGTCTCTCTTAATTAGTTTCGGCTTGAAATTTACTTTGTCTGCAAATCAGATCGCTACCGCTGCTTTTTTTCCAGGTTCCTGTCTCATGGAGATGTATTTTCCATCCTTTTACTTTCAGTCTATGAGTTTCTTTTTGAAGTAGGTGTATTTCTTGTATATAGCATAGTATGGGATGTTGCTTCTTGGTCCACTCTGCCAATCGTTCTTTTGAATGGTGAATTGAGGCCACAGACATTGATGGTTATAATTGATATGTATTGACTTATCGTCATCATGTTATTTTCCTGTAGTTGGGTATTTTTAATTTTTTTCTCCTCTCCTTCAGTTTCTTGCCTTGCCCGCTAGATTTGCTCTATTGGGCCTTACGGAGTTGGAATCTTCATTGTTCCTTTACTAGGATATTATTTAGAATTGTCTGGAGTGCTGATTTGGTATTCATATATTTTCTCAGGTACTGTTTGTCATGAAAGTATCTTATATCTCCAGTAATTTTGAAAGATATTTTTGCAGTATACATCAGTCTGGGGTGGAGGGTGTTTTCTTTTAGGGCTTAAAATACCTCAGTCCAGGTCCCCCCTAACTTGAGGGTTTGGATTGAAAAGTTTGGTGGGATTCTGATGGGCTTTCCTTGCATGCGATTGTGTTTCTTTTCTCTAACTGCTTGTAGTACTTTGTTCTTCTGTTGGTTTTCTGCAGTCTTTATTATAATTTGCCTTCATGTAGATTTTTTGTCATCATGGCTAGTTGGAGTCCTATAAGCATCGTTTATCTGTATGTCAAATCCTTTTGCTCTGTCTGGGAAAATTTCTGTCATTCCTTCTCTTAACATTTTTTTTTTTTTGACATTTGTACTCGCTCCTGCTTTTTCATGGACTCTTATGTTATTCTTCTTTGCCTCATCTAGGAGCTATAGGACTGGTTTTTCATGTTCCCTTACTTTTTACAAAAGATCCCTCTCTTCATGGTCACTGACCACCATCTTGTCTTCTATACCTGATATTCTGTCTACAGATTGGCTCAGCCTGCTGTGTACCCTTTACTAGATTTCTAATCTCCTGGATATCTGTTTGAATCTCTTTCGTGGATTCCATTTCTTTCCTATGCTGGGCATTCATCGCTTCTATCATTGTCCTGATCTCATGTAATTTTTAAATTCTGTTTCTGTTGTAGAGTCTCTAATCAGGTCATTCATTCTGCTCACCTTCTGTGTAGTTACTTGGGAAATTATTTCTGTTTTAAATTTTTCTGGAGCCTCATTCCCCTGTTTTGTTACTTCCTGTGCTATCAGTTCCGGGTGTCCAGGTGGTTGATTATCCATCTTTTCCACCTCAATTTGCACAGAATTTGCCTTTGGTGAGCTGGCAGCCTGTATTTGTGCCTGTGCCTCATTTGAATGTCTTCTCATTTCTGTTTTGTTGGTGGTGGTGGTGGTGGTGGAACTGCCCTTGGTTTGATACCTGGGTTAATATTTCGATCTTTCTGTTATAGCTCGTCCTTAGGCTTTGAGGCTTTAATGACTTTGAGGAATTCTCATTTTTATTACTCCAGGAAGGACAACTGATTAGATCAATCGCAATACCTTAGAGAAAGCAATACAATCCACCATACAATAGCATGAAGTGCAGTTTAGAAAATGACCTTTCATGGTAGTTACTAATCTATCACCTTTAACTGTGTGAATTAAATCAAAATCGAGGCTGCAGCTCAGGATTATGGCCTTCATGTCCCCTGTGCCTCTGTGGTGTGAATCCAGGTACCAGTCCAGCAAGAAGGCCAGAGGCACGGGGGGCAGTGGGTTATGGAGGTCTGTGGGTGCTCTGCGGAGGCCTGGGGTGTAGGGATGGGGGTCTCTCTTTTATTGTTGAAGAAACTCTGGGATGTTTTCATTACAGTTATACCAATTACATTGTCATATAAAGTAAGCAAGGATTCCCTGTTCTCCACATTGCTGACAACAGATTTCTCTTTCTTCTTTTAAAAACATCTATTCTAACATGTATGCACTTCTATTCAATTATGGTTTTAATTTGCAGTTCTCCATAGCTAGTGATGCACAGCATTTTTTTCATGTAGTTGTTGGCCATTTGTTTGTCTGCTTTTGAGAAAAGTCTATTGAGAGCCTTTGCACATTTTTACATTAGATCATGTTTTTTAATATCTGTATGTTTTAATTCCTTATGTATTGTGGACATTAATCCATTTTTAGAAACATTTCCTCTTATTCTGTGTGTTGTCTCATTTCTTTGTTGATTGTTTAGTTGAATGTGTGGGAGATTTGTAGTTGAAAGTAATCCAATCTATTTTTGCTATTGTTGTCTATTCCTTTGAGTTTTTGCCCAAAACATC